CAAAATAGATATATCCAGCCTAAACTCAGATCAAATTTAGAGTTAGAGTACATATTTTAAAATCATTTAAGTTTTTGTTTGTTTTATCAAAATGATGCAACTGAAATAAAGTATGAAAACAGTTATATCAAAGTGATTAGAAGAAGCTGGGTGCATGCCTATAACCCCCATGGCTCTGGAGGCTGAGGCATGAGGATTGCAAGCTCCAAGTCATCCTCAGCAACTTAGTGACACTCTGTCTCATAATAAAAAATAAAAAGGGCTGAGAATGTGACTCAGTAGTTAAGCACCCTGGATTCAATGCTCGGTACCAAAAAAAAGAAAAAAGGAAAAAAGAAAGAAAATTGCTTATAGGAAAATTGTGATGGAAAAATCAATATATATTTATTGTGTTAGTTTTTCATTGCTGTGACTAAAATACCTGACAAGAACAACTTAGAGGAGGAAAGATTTATTTTTGGCTCATAGTTTCAGAGGTCTTAGTCCATGGTCCACGATTGCAGAAGTCTCATGATAGAAGGGCATGGCGGAAGAAAGTTGCTTAGCTCATGGCAGCTGGGAAGCAAAGAAGTGGGGCAGGGACAGATATAATCCCAAAGGCCCTGCCCCGAGTGATTTACTGCCTTCAACTATACTCTACCTTCTTCTGATTTAGTCATCCAGAGATTAATCCACTGAGCAGGTCCAAGCCAAAGCCCCACCTCTGAACCTTGCCCCTAGTGATTTACTGCCTTCAACTGTGCTCTACCTTCTAGAAGTACATTTAATCATCAGGAGATTTAATCCACTGAGCAAGTCCAAGCCTTCATGACATAATCATTCCTTAAAAGCCCCACCTCTGAACATTACTGCATTGAGAACCATACTGTCAACACATGAGCCTTGGGGGGACATTCCAGATCCAAACCATAATTTTTACATTTCCATGAACTTTAACACCTAAACCCTTTTCCAAACAAAATCATAAGTGTAACCAATTGATGAAATCATTTTGTCTGTTAGTATAATTTTATTTAAGTTAATATTTATAAGATTGTAAAGTCAGTCAATGGAATTATGAGGCTTTTGATGAACCCACCATTTGAATTGGGGTATAGATAAAAGTTGGAGATTTATATCAAACTTAGCAAGCAGTGTCTTTATATATTTATCAGAAGTTCTCTTAATCAACTAGCTGTTAAACAATTCTGTTGATTAGTCAACCATATAAAATAAAACAGATACTTATGAACTTTAGAATACATATGGCCAGGAGTAAGCTGTTCTCTCATATACTCAGGTAATACTGTTTTCACTGTTTGAGTTATAACTTACCAGGATCAGTTTTCTTTAATTCTAATTCTATTTATATCAATTATACTTGTATTATAATTATTGCAATTTAATTAAATAATATGTGAACTAATAAAGTATGAGAATGAAAAGAAAGCTCTTTTTATGAAAACTTTAATTGAAGGCTTTGGAAAACTCAATAAAGGTGAGTTGTTAAAAACAAGTTCTTCTGAAATATGAATTCTTAGCATAGGTCCACAGAGGGTACCCTGGAGAACCCTGCATGAACCTCTTGAATTGTATTAAATATACACCATGAAGTAAGCATTATGTCATTTCTAGTGCATATCAAATGTTACATATCCTCTCTTCACATTGCAAAATCTTATATTATCCTCCTAATTTAGCTTTTCTTAATCCACATTTTATGAGGATAGAATGGAATAACGTATATGCAAATGTGGCTTTCATTTCAATATAAAGGTATACTCAGCAGTTTCATAAATCCTGACACTGATCAGTTATGTATCAGTGTGTAAAAATTCCATTCAGGATTAGTCATCAGGAGATTAATCCACTGTGCCAAAGTGTTACTGCTTGTGGTTTCCTTCCCAACTTTAAGTATGTGCACCCTGTAGCAAATGGAGTAGATAGAGATGTCCAACCCTGAATAGACTTCTGTACCTCTGGAATAAAATACATAGCAAAAAGAAGACTGCAGAATAGTATCAAAATATTCCAACATGATAATAAAAGCATAATCTAGAGGAACTAAAGGAAGGGCAATGTAGATCAAAACAGGTTGAAAACACCTATTGAGTGTAAATCTTTGCCTTTTCAGTTGGGCCTCAGTTCTAGCTAATCTCAGTTATATTTGAGTACCTCACTTTTTCTTTTTTTTTTCTTTTTTTTTGTAGTGTTGGTGTTTGAACCCAGAGTTTTGTGCATGCGGTGCAAGCACTCTACCAACTGAACTATATCCCCAGCCCAAGTACCTCACTTTTTAAGCCTCTCCAGCCATTCTCTATTTCATGAGTGAAAATTCCTTTAGGGAAGTTACAGAAGATATTGATTCATCAAATACCTGGCCATTGTAATTTTTTAAATATAGGGACAACCTTTAAAAGGTCAATCAACAATGTCTTGATAGTCAATAGTATGATAATTTTTAGAGTTGACAGCACTTGAGAATGTGCAAAGTACTTTTATTTATTTATTTGCCATTGTGTATAGGCAGTGCTAGGGATTGGACCCTGCATGCTTCACCACTGAGCCATAACCCCAACCCTTTTTATCTTTTATTTTGAGACAGGGTCTTGCTCAGTTGTTGAAGTTGCCCTTGACCATGTCATTTTCCTGTCTCAGCTTCTCAAATAGCTAGGACTAAAGACTGCATGCACTACCACTCTCGGCCAAAGTACTTTTATTTATATTAACTCCTCTAAACTTTCTAACAGTTATTTGAAATAAGCTTAGCAAATATTATCTTTAATTTGCAAATAACAATATTCAGGTTAAGTGATTTGGCTGAGAACATTAATGCCCTTGTAAGTGAAAATAATTTTGTACTATAAAGAATAATCTGAAAATGCGAATAGGAATAGGTTGGTATATGGGATGGCTAAAAGGAAGAAAGGCTGATAAATTGTTGGAAAGGAGTTTTCAGATAAATATAATAAGTATTTCACTTAAGAGTAGAAAAAACATTAAAATGAAAAAATGGTTTATAATAGTGGCCTATTCATGGCATCATTCTATATCAGAGTGGTACTGAAGAGACATTTTGTCTGCAAATAGAAATTTTCCCACCATGGCATTTATGGACCTTGCTTTATACTTACTGTCTAAGTAAAAATCACTACAAAAAATTTTGAGTGCCTATTATGCATGTTTAAGTATTTTTAAAAATTTGTTCTAATTAATTATATATGACAGTAGAATGCATTTTGACATATCATACATAAATGGAGTATAAATTCTCATTCTTCTGGTTGTACGTGATGTAGAATTACACCAGTCATGCAATCATATATGCACATAGGGTAATAGTGTCTGATTCATTCTACTATCCTTTCTACCCCCATACTCCTCTCTCCCTTCATTTCCCTCTGTCTAATCTAAAGTATCTTTACTTTTCTCTAGCCCCACCCCCTTATTGTGAATTAGCATCTGCATATTAGAGAAAACATTCAGCCTTTGCTTCTTTGGGATTGGCTTATTTTGCTTAGCATGATATTCTCTAGACCCATCCACTTACCAGCAAATGCCATTATTTCATTCTTCTTTAAGGTTGTAAAATATTCCGTTGTGTATATATATACCACATTTTCTTTATCCATTCATCTGTTGAAGAGCATCTAGTTCCATAGCTTAGCTATTGTGAATTGAGCTGCTATAAACATTGATGTGGCTTTGTCATTGTAATATGCTGATTTTAAGTCATTTGGATATATGCTGAGGCGTGGAATAGCTGGGTCAAATGGTGGTTCCATTCCAAGTTTTGTGAGGAATCTCCATACTGCTTTGCAGATTGGTTGCACCAATTTGCAGCCCCACTCTGCAATGTATAAGTGTACCTTTTCCCCCCACATTCTTGCCAACACTTATTGTTGCTTGTATTCTTGATAATTGCCATTTTGACTGGAGTAAGATGAAATCTTAGTTTTGATTTGCATTTCTCTAATTGCTAGAGATGATGAACATTTTTTCATATGTTTGTTGATCAGTTGTATTTTTTCTTCTGTGAAGTGTCTGTTCAGTTCCTTAGCCCTTTTATTGGTTGGATGATTTGGGGTTTTTTGGTGTTAAGTTTTTTGAGTTCTTTATATATCCTGAAGATTAGTGCTCTATCTGAGGTGCACATAGTAAAGATTTCCTCCCATTCTGTAGGCTCTCTCTTAGAGTTATTGATTGCCTCCTTTGCTGAGAAGAAGCTTTTTATTTTGAGTCCATCCCATTTACTGATTCTTGATTTTACTTCTTGTACTTTAGGAGTCTTATTGAGGAAGTTGGTTTCCTAAGCCGACATGTTGGAGAATTAGGCCTACATTCTCTTCTAATGCAGGGTCTCTGGTCTGATGCCTAGGTCCTTGCTCCTCTTTAAGTTGAGTTTTGTGCAGGGTGAGAAATCGGGGTTCTGTTTCACTCTACTACATGTGACTTTTCAGTTTTCCCATTGCCATTTGTTGAAGAGGCTTTTTTCTCCAGTGTATGTTTTTGGCACCTTTGTTCAGTAAGAGATAACTGTATTTATGTGGGTTTGTCTCTGTGTCTTCTATTCTGTTCCACTGGTCATCATGTCTGTTTTTGTGCCAATACCATGCTATTTTTATTACTATATAGCTCTGTAGTATAATTTAAGGTCTGATATTGTGATGCCTTTTGCTTCATATTTCTCTCTAAGGATTGCTTTGGCTATTCTGGGCCTCTTATTTTTCCAAGTGGATTTCATGACTGATATTTAAGCACTTTTAATCATTAGAATAAATCTGTGAGGAAGACATTATGTTACAGCTGCACAAGCTGAGGCTCACAGAGCTTCGTCAGCTTCCTGCAGTCATACAACTAGCCAAACTCTATTAGCCAACTACAGGACAATAGTAAGGATTCAACCCAGGTAGACTGGCTCCCAAACCGATATTGTCTCCCAACTTCCCCAGATGTATGTTTTCTTATGAATAAGAGGAAATATCTTCATACCTTGGGTGTTTGTACTTTGTTTTTCAAAGAGGTTATCTTCAGATACCAACGAAAAGGAAGTGAAAGCTAATGAAGAGCCACTCCTAAGAAAGAGTTCTCGCCGATTTGTCATTTTTCCAATCCAGTACCCTGATATTTGGAAAATGTATAAACAGGCACAGGCATCCTTCTGGACAGCAGAAGAGGTATGTGGCATCATCTTATTAACATTCATGGCCCATAATGCAGTGTTGACTTCCTGTGTTATGGAGTGTTGAAACATTTTAACTTTTAATAAGACCAGTTGTATAAGATGAGGTTAAGAATTTTTGAGACTAAACATAGTGTTCTCCAATATTTTAGTTTAGATCACTTTCTATAAACAAATTATCTGCTGCAAAAAAAAAAATTGCATGTTGTTCTGCCTGGTGCTTTGTTTTGTTTTGGGATACTGGGGGTTAAATCCAAGGAAGCTTTACCATTGAGCCATATCCCCAGTCCTTTTTATTTTTCATTTTGAGACAGGATCTCACTAAGTTGCCAAGGCTGACTCTGAACTTGCTATCCTCCTGCTTCAACTTCCCAGGTAGCTGTGATTACAAGCATGTGCCACTGTGCCAGCTATAGATTTTTACTCTAATATATTTTTAGGACATTTTCTACTTTTAAACATATTTTTGGTTTGCTATGGCCACATAGTTTAGTCTTTACTTGTGCTCAGCAAAATAAGCAAAGTTGTAACTATGGTAAAAAAAAAAAAAGAAAGAAAAATAGACTGAAAGCTTTAAGGACCCTGCTTTCATTTAAACAAATTATATGAATTGCTTAACTGATTGTACAAAAGGAGCTAACCAGGCTGACTTCACAGTTCTTCCATTCTGCTTCAGCAGCATCAAACTTGATTCAAGGGCTGAGGATGTGGCTGAGAGGTAGAGCACTTGGCTTAGTGTGCAGAAGACTCTGGGTTGGATCCCTAGCACCACAAAACAAACAAAAACCTGATACAGTTCCCCCTAACAGGATAGATGTAGAATGTTGTCTGTTATTGTGACTTTTTCCACCAAGGAAATGAGTTGAACACAGCAAATTAGATAATATTTGCTGGTTTGGTAAGGACAGGTGGTCATGCAAATGACTGCTTTGTAGTCTAGTTGAACACACAAATAGATATGGCCTTCATCTTGCTCTGTGTACATACACATAAGTAATGTTTCTATTTCTATAGATATATCTATTTGGATAGATAAATTTGGATTGGTCTGTTTTTCAAGAGATTTATTCTATACATATAAACATACTCTGTAAAAAATGCAGATTCTGGGGCCTGGCTGCCTAAGTACAAATCCTGCTCTTTTGCTTATTAGTTGTAGAACTAGGAAAGTTGCTTTACCCTCTTTGTGTATTGTCATAGATAAATGAGGCTAATAGTACCTGCCTATTAGGTTGTTAGCCCACTAGGACTAATGAGAAGTTAAGAAAGGTACCTGACACTTAGTAAGCACTAAATAAATGCTTTATTTTATGCCTAGAATGGGTATTATTTAACCTAGATATCAGAAAGGCACAAGTGTCTGAAATTTCTCTTAAACCAATTTTACCTACTTTCCCTTCTTATATTGTCAACATCTTTATTATACTATAGTTGACATATAGAGCAAAAAAGCAAACAAAACATCTAGTATTTTTAGGGGGCTAGGGGGCTACCAGAGATTGAATTCAGGGGCACTCAACTGCTGAGCCACATCCCCAGCCCTATTTTGTATTTTCTTTAGAGACAGCATCTCACTGAGTTGCTTAGCACCTCGTTTTTTCCCTGAGGCTGGCTTTGAACTTGCCATCCTTTTGCCTCAGGCTCCTGAGTTGCTGGGATTACAGGCATAGGCCTCTGCACCTGGTCACATTCAGTACTTTAATACTGGGTCGTAAAGCTTGGCACACCTGACTCTCCCTAACTGTCTGTGGTTTTTAGAAAGTTTTTGTTAGACTTGGTTCAGAGAGCAAGTGAAGTATACAGCTGGGATTTTTCACATTAAAAAGGTACCTGTGATACTTGGTTTTCTTGAAATTCATTTGGGAACTATATTTGTTTTTAGCAAATGTAATAAGTGTTCTATGACTAAGAAACACTAATTTTTAAAAACTAAAATATGCAGGTTGATATTGATTTTGTAGGAAGATTCAAGTGCTTGTTATGAAGGGAAGTCAAACACATTCTTAGTTCCACATATTTTTCATTTAAACAAGTTATGTAAATTATCATTTAATCAACTTTGGATTCTACTTTTTTTTAAAAAAATCGGTGGTTGAACTTCTCAATATTAAACCCCCACTTTGGAAGGCAAAAGGTCAGGGCCTTGGGATTTTTTTTTTTTTTTTAATAAGTCACTTGGGAAATTTTGATAATCAGCTAGTATGTTAACTTTCTGTTGCTGTGACAAGATTCCTGAGAAAATCAACTTATAAAGGGAAAGATTGATTTTTGGCTCACAGTTTCAGAGATTTCAGCCTATGATTGCTTGGCCTTGTTGCTTTGGACTTGTGACAGCATAGTAAATCATGTCCAGTGTGCATGGTAGAGGCCACCTGGTCACCACATAGTGGCTGGGAAGCGAAAAAAGAGGAAGTAACCAGGGGTCCCAATATTCCCTTCAAGGGCAAGCCCTTAGCAACCTAATTTCCTTCCACTAAGTCCCACTTCCTACTGGGTCTACCACTTCCAGTAGCGCCACAGATGATGACTGTGCTTTTGACACATGGACCTCAGGGAACATTGAGGATCCATACTATCGCAGCTAGTTTGGAGTCAATTTTTAGATGATGGAAGTGAGAATTTGCTCAAGAGAGATAAAACTAGGAAGGAAGGTTTATGTTTCTGGAAGGGAATATAACCAATGTATAAATAAAATTTATATGTTTAAAGAGATTTTAATATTTAAGAACAAACATATTTTAATATTAAAACTCAGTATCAGGAAGATGTCCTTTGTGAAGCCTGAGTTGAGCCCTTAGTAGAACACAACTTGATTTCTAGTATATTTATTTTACAAGATGAAGACAAATATTACACCCTCTCCATCCCATCATATCCTCAACGCTTAGCATAATATTGGGCATGTAGTAAGTGCTCAGCAAACATCTAAAAATAGGGGTTTAGGAAAGAAAACAAAAAGTGAAAATTATGGATATTACTCTTTTTTGGGGGGAAAGGTCAAAGACATCGGGACTTTGTTAGAATGGGTAAAATAAGGACAAAAACAATATAATCACATCTTACAAGGTCAGTTACGAATTTTTTTCATTTCATTTTTTTTTCTCCTGATACTGGGGATTTAACCCAGGGATGTTTTATCACTGAGCCACATCCCCAGCCCATTTTAATTTTTATTTTGAGACAGGGTCTTGCTAAATTGCTTAGGGCCTCAGTAAGTTACTGAGGCTGACCCCAAACTTGTGATCCTTCTGCCTCAGCCTCCAAGCTGCTGGGATAGGCATGTATCACTGTGCCCAGCACATATTTCAAGTGTTTATGAAGTTATTGTGAAACATACTTAAGATATTTTTCTAATACAAAATATCCAGAAAAGCTATGAACTGAATGCTGCCCCCCCTCCCCTAGTTTATCGGTTGAACTCCTAATCCCCAGTGTGATAGTGTTGGTGGGGGCCATCGGAGGTAATTAGATAATAAGGTCTGTGCATTTTGAAGGGAATCCATGCCCTTAGAAGAAGAAATATGAGAGAGTTGAAGTATGAGAAAGATGATCTCTCTTTGCTCTGAGGATATGGCAAGAAGGTGGCCATCTGTAAATGAGGAAGTGGGTCTTCACCAAGAAACTAAGCAGGCTGGCACCCTGAGCTTGGCTTTCCAGCCTCCAGAACTGTGAAAAGTAATCTTTTTGTTGGTTAATCCACCCAGTCTATTTGTTATAGCAACCAGAGGTGTAAAGGTTATTTTAAAATAGTAAATTTTTGCTGAATTCTATAGTGCATCTCTCTTAATACCAAGGACTAATTCTGATAAATGTTTTAAAAAATATTTCTATTCCTTGAGGAAGGCATACCTATAGACTGCTTGACGTTACTTATGGGTAGAGTAGGTTAGTTGACGATAAAGTAGAAGATACAGTTGATTAACAGTTACTTTATTATTTGTGGAACAACATAGTAAATATCATGTAAAATGTTAAAACAATGGCTGCTGAAAGTCATTGTTTATTCACCTCAATTCTTTCTTGACTAATTTTATTCTACCATTCCTCTCTCTTCATTTTTTCCAGTGCCAGTCTGATAATTGTAACATTTTGAAAGTACATCTTAACTAGCTTCTCATTTAGCCAGAAAATCATTCTTTTATATTGTTTTGTTATCTTTTACTTAAATTGTAGATAAATCTTAAATATACTAGATATATCTGGCATATTATATATATATATCTTGGAAACCTTAAATATGTTTGTAGATAAATCTTACATATACTAGATATATCTGGCATATAATATATATATGTATATATATATGTATATATCTATATATATCTTAGAAACCTTAAATATGTTATATCTATAGTAAAATGATTACTATAATATAAGATAATTAACATATCTATTATGTCACACAGTTGCCCATCTTTCCCCTTGTCCCAAGAATAGCTAAAATTTACTTGTTTAGCAGATGTCCTAGATAAAATACCCTATTATTAACAGAATGTTTTTGTTTTAGTCTCTTTGTGATCTTAACATTTTTTCTTTTTTCACAGTTTACTGCTTGTTGTTATATCCTTTCTTAATGTTAGAGTGGAAATTAGTTTTCTAAACAGTAACTGTTAAAATTTTTGAAAAAAATTTTTATTGTAGGTTGACTTATCAAAGGATCTCCCTCACTGGAACAAGCTTAAATCAGATGAGAAGTATTTTATCTCTCACATCTTAGCCTTTTTTGCAGCCAGTGATGGAATTGTAAATGAAAATTTGGTAAGATTTTTTTTTATTTTACTTTTGTGCTATTTAACCATTAAATGATGATACTATAAGTAAGATCATTAGGTTGAGCCTGAGAAAAGATGCGTAAGTAATTGAATAGATGAAGCTTGATTCTTGAAAGTGTTTTCTGATAAAGTGCAGAGGAAAGGATAGATTTCTGCTATCCAATCAGCTAAATATCATGAAATGAAGCGTAAAATGTGCCAACTAAAACCTGCTTAAACTTTAGGTTGATTTTTTTATCCTCAGATAATAAATCTAATAGAGATTCTCTACTTAAATGGGATCCTAATAAGAATAAATTGTACTCCATATACGTATAACATGTGAAAATATACTCTACTCTCATGTATATCTAAAAGCAACAACAAAAGAATCTCTACCTTAATAATCATATTGAGCTTTGTATAAAACACCAGGTTCTGGCTTCTCTTTTAAAAAATTTGTATTATATTGATTCTGGAGGCAGAATTTCTTGTTAAACAGAATAGAGCCGGGCGTAGTGTTACATGCATGTAATCCCAGCTACTTGGGAGGTGAGTCAGGAGGAACTTAAGATTGAAGGCAGTCTGGACAATTTAGGAAGATCCTACCTCAAAATTTAGAAAGAGAGAGAGGGAGAGAGTAAGAATAGCGAATAGAGATATGACTTTCCATCATAGAATAGAAGAGCCTTTAACAGATCTCTTTACTTTTGGAAATAAATTCTTCAAAGGAAAATTATTAGTTTTGGTAGATGTTCTAAAGTTTATTTGTTCTTTGGGCACTATTTTAACCTAACAGGACAATTCATATAATTGTATAAGAATATATTATGCAATTAATTTATTGTGGAGGATTTGATGAATAAATAATACTGCTTAAGTTAACCCTTAACTTCTTTCTGACCTGTTTATTGCAGGCAGGCAGTTTTTAATGATCATTCTGATGTCTGGATTCAGATTTGCAATGTTTAACCAAGTGTTTTGTGAGAGACCACAGCATTGGATCTGTTTCCCCTATTTTTTAGGTGGAGCGCTTTAGTCAGGAGGTGCAGGTTCCAGAGGCTCGCTGTTTCTATGGTTTTCAAATTCTCATCGAGAATGTTCACTCAGAGATGTACAGTTTGCTAATAGATACTTACATCAGAGATCCCAAGAAAAGGTATTCCTGCTGAGATTTTTATTTGCATAGTTTTATCCTAGTGCTTAAAGTTATTGCAAAATTTATTAACAAAGCTAAACTTTAAGGAAATATTGTTTACATATAGAAGTTTTTAACAACTGTGTTTTCTATTGCCCAATAATGTGTTAGATTAAAAAAAGCTTATATAGAATTAATTAATCTTTAGATATTTTATAGTATCTTAAAAAACGGTTCATTAGCACATTCTGTTTAGAAATTGAATATTTGCATTTAGTTGATTTAGTATCAGACCATATTCAGACCACTAATTTGAGTTTTGCTTTCATTTTTATATTTTATGAACATGCAAAAGTATAGAAAAATTACAGAGTTACAGTTAGTCTCTGATTAAACCATTAAACTTTAGTTCAATTAATAAACAAGTAAATAACTTCCCTGAATTCTGTTATTCTTACAGGGAATTTTTATTTAATGCAATTGAAACAATGCCATATGTTAAGAAAAAAGCAGATTGGGCTCTGCGATGGATAGCAGATAGAAAGTCTACTTTTGGTATGTAACTCTCAATTACATGTAATCAAATTTTCTTTGGATGATGTACCGTCCACAGCCCAGTTGTGCTAGGGTAATGGGATAGTTTGCCAAGAGATTAAAGAAGATGCATGGAGATGGCATGTGAAATAGACATAAGGTTTATTGAAGACTGCTTGAGGAAGGTCCAGGGGTGACTGGCCGGATAGATTATATCTCCATCTGTCATGGTGCTTTGCCAGAAAGTAGTGCCTCTGTTCCTCATGGCACTTGGTCCATTAGTGGCCAGCTGGACAAGCACTTATCCTGTCCACAGTGCTCTCTGTTCCACACCAATTACCACAGGGAGGGAGGCTTTATAGGGTAGGATACAGAAGCAGTGACATCATTAGCTCGCTTTGTCCCATTGTATGACCAGCATTCCAAAGGATTTAGCAGACAAGCACAAAAGGAGTTTTTATAGGTAGCACTAGTTTGCACCTCATAGATCTCCTGTGTCTGTAGAACTCCCAGATACATCTGGACCACACTCAAGAACAAGTGATGAAATGCTTATATGGGCAAGTATGTGGTATATTGGTGAAGAAACAGATATGTTTGCATTGCCTCCAGTTCATTGTAAGAATGAGAAAAGCAGTGCTTCTTGATGTGCATTAATAGCATCTGGAAAATTTGTAGAAAAACCCTATAGAATCCTGGTTCTCACTAGGCAGAGTGATTCAGGAAGTGCAAGTGGGACTGAGGAATCTGCATTTCATATCCAGATGATTTTTTCACAAGTGGTTTGAGAAGCACAGGTTGGGATACTGACTTCAGAGAAAAAAAAATCAGGAAAATATCAAGATGTTCAATATGCATTGAAAGTATTAGTATGGATAGATACTGATAGAAAATGATGAATGATTTACAGAAAGTTGGTGTTTTCTGATACCACCCAAGAAAGACAAACTAGAAATAGAGAAAACAGAGAAGGATGGTATCATCTTGCAATCACAGCAGGGGCTTCAGTTAGATTGTTCTTTTTGTTTAATCTCAAAGAAAATCCCACTTAGGATTCTGATTTAGGGCCTCAGAAGAAAGAATGTATTTTAAAATGGTGCAGGAGGAGGAGTGAAATAAGAAGGGAAAGGGAGAAGAGTGAAGTGCACATTGGTAGTTTTCCATTTTGCAAGTGGATCTAAAAGACAGTAACACAGAAATATTATTTTGCTTTACCACACACCTGTACCTTCCTTTAAAGAAAGAAGAAGTGCAATTTTAAAAATTAATTGTGCCGTCTACACCATTAGTAACTTTGGATTGACAAGGCAACTTTTTCATCTGGCTGAGGTCTTTGCCTAACATTTTGGGGGATGCTCTAGGTGACTTTTGCACCAACTGAGGACCCAGTGTAGCAACTGTTCTTTCCTTACCTCCAGACTCCTGTAATCCATTAAATTTTAGCTAAAGAGGACCTAAGAATACTTCTTGAAAAATAATTAGTTAGTTTTAGGGGTTGGGGTTATGGCTCAGTGGTAGAGTGCTCACCTAACATGTATGAGGCACTGGGTTTGATCCTAAGCACCACATAAAAAATAAATAAATAAAATAAAGTTATTGTGTTCATCTACAACTAAAAAAAATTTTTTAAATTGTTAGTTTTAAGTTCATATATTATAAGGAGATTCAATTCTAGTAGAGATAAACATTTCTAACTATATATTTGTAGTTTTTAAAAATTCAAGACCTACTGTTTAGTTTTAAAAAAAAACTTTAAAAAATTTTAAAACATAGATATAGTAAACCTTAATAAATGTAAAGAAATTATATTTTATACTTCAAGTGCTAGTTATACAGTCTTAGTGCATTGCATCATAGAGCTCTACTATCTTAAAAATATATCCCACTTTCTTCTCTCTAAAACAAATCATGAGGCTTTAACATTCATTTCCTTTTAGAAGAAATGTTTTGGGACTCTCTTTTTATTTCACATATATTCTTGAAAATTTGAAAAATTTACCCTTTACAATCCTTTAATCTTCTCCAAAAATGGTCATCTATAACTATTTATTATGATTTTCATCCTTTGGTATTCATATGAATGCATGCAATGGTTAAAATGACAATTTCCCCCTTGTTCAGAATATATATATATATATATATATATATATATATATTTTTTATTATTAGTATTTGAACTTGGGGCACTCGACAACCGAGCCATATCCCCGGTGCAATTTTGTGTTTTATTTAGAAACAAAGTCTCACTGAGTTGCTAAGCGCCTCGCTAGCTTTGAATTCCACGTTCCTACTATCTCAGCCGCCTGAGCTGCCAGGATTACAGGCGTCAGAATGTTTATATTTATAGTCGTGTTTTCTTATAGATATTTGTCCATATGATGTTACCTTAATGCCAATTTAAAATGTATCAAATGTAACTACCTGTCATCTTATTAATAGGAAGATAAAAGCATAGTAAATTATGTTAAACTAATGATGAATGTCTTGCTTAAGCTTAGTGTTATTATTATTACATTTTAATATTTAGTTAGTGTATAACACATTAAAGAATCTTCTTTTCCACAATTGAGGGCTGAGGATATAGCTCAGTGGTAGAGTGTCTGTCTAGAATGTGTGGAGTCCTGGCTTCTATCCCCAGCCATGCCAAAAACCAATCAACCAATCAACCATTCCTTTGACATAGTGAATATTTGTTTAATTTATATTTCTTTTTTTTATACAGTTAATTTTAAAATTGTGTCTGTAAAAATAAAATACTTCAGACATTTTCCATGTTTTAGACTACTAATAGAAATTTGGATTACCAAGTATATGATTTATCAGATTTGGTTTGATAATCAGGGAGAAACAAGGACAAACCAGAGCATTATTTAGCGACAGCCAGAAACATTTGAATTTAGTCAGCTTTCTTTTTAAAATTTAAATTTGTTCTGGAAATTTAAAATATTTATTCAGTTTCTACATCAAATTTTTGTGTTTTCTATGGAATGAGTTTTAATGCTTCTTAATATCTTCTATAATGTATTTTGGTTTGGTTGAGGACACATTTATTAAGTACCTGCTATGTGTTTGCTCCTGCAACAAGTACAAGGAATATAAAGTACAAGATACTAGCTGGGCATGGTGGTGCACAATTGTAATCCCAGTGATTCGGGAGGCTGAGGCAGCAGGATTGTAAATTTGAGGCCAGTCTCAGCAATTTAGTGAGACTGATCTCAAAGTAAAGGGCTGGGGATGTGACTCAGTGGTTAAGCATCCCTGGCTTCAGTCCCTGGTGCCCCCAGCCCTCACAAAAACAGATACAGGTATAAGAAATATAAACTATGTCATCAGTAACAAAGGCCTATAGTTTCCTCAAGCACTCAGTGCCTTTATCTCACAATCTACAACCTTTCTCCCTAGATATGCAGTATGGTGACATAAGGGGCAAGTGTATAATCTTTTGGATTAAGTCTATAATCATTTCCTGGAGACGATGTTATAGATTATGCCACTAGATATATTTCAGGAATAGGCTTCTGAAAAGAAAGAAACTTTTGAAATTGGCCCTTATGTATTTAGCAAAGGATAGTATTTTTGCTTGGATGATAGGATATTTTTGCTTATGTTTTTGGTATTGACTGTTGAACCCGGGAACACTGAGCCCTTTTTATTTTTTATTTTGAGACAGGGTCTTGCTAGGTTACTAAGGGCCTCCCTAAGTTGCTGAGGTTGGCCTCAAACTTCAGATCATTCTATCTCAACCTCCTGAGTCACTGGAATTATAGGCGTGCACCACCTCAACCTCCTGAGTCACTGGAATTACAGGCGTGTACCACCACACCTGGCTGTGATAGGTATATGTATTATCATCAGCTGGGCTCATCTATTTTTTAATTGCATATTCAAGACAATGTCTTTGAAATATTTATAACTAGTTTGTAAGATATATAGGTTGCTAAAAATATAAATCTCAGCAGTATGTGCACATACTGTACTCACATGCATGTGCCTGCATTCACAAGCACCTGTAGGTGACAGGCAAATCACTTATTTTTTTGAGTGTAGAAGGCCATCCTTTGCCCAGAAACCAAGTCTACAAAATGTAGGATTTTGAAGTAGACATACCTTTCTGTCCTAGTAGGTAGGGTAGAAAATTTCCTTCTCTAAAGATCTTTAGCCACTGCACTAACTTGTTTATTTCTTGGAAAAATAGTTGAGGTATTATTAAAAAAATATATATAAACTTGCAAATGTTTGTAGTATGTGATATTTAGAAAGTGAAACTGTTTTATGTCTCCTAGGGGAAAGAGTGGTGGCCTTTGCTGCTGTGGAAGGAATTTTCTTCTCAGGATCTTTTGCTGCTATATTCTGGCTAAAGAAGAGAGGTCTCATGCCTGGGCTCACATTTTCCAATGAACTGATCAGCAGAGATGAAGTAAGGTTTGAAATGTTTCTCCAGTTATATTTGTTTTCATATGTCATGTTCATCTACTTTTCTTTCCTCTGAGAAATGCTTATGGTGACTCAAATACCCTGGTAATTAAAAGGAAATAGGAAGTCATTTCTTCTATGGCTGGTAAGATTGCACTTTCTTACTGTGTCTCTCATCATTTTTCCTCAGTCCCTGCTCATTCTTAAACATCAGTATGCTTCTGGACACCTGCTTTGGTCTCCCTGACTCCTTGACTTTGTATGATCTTCTGGCTCATCTTATTTGTTCACATGATATCAGCTACCATCTAAAAGCTCACAGCTCCCCAGACTTTATCTTTATCCCAGATAGTCTTTTCTGATCTCCAAACAAATAGGTGCACCTTAGTTGTTTTCTCCTGGATTAGTCTATAGGTATCTCAAATCTGACATTTCAGAAATCAAACACATCATCTTTCTTTCAAAATTTGTTCTTCCTCTGTTTTACTTACCTTAATGAGTCTCCCCCTACCCACTCTCCAGTCATCCAGTTTGAAATCTGGGAATCATTTCAAATTGCTTCTTTCCTATTTAGCCACATTCAATCATAAGTTTTATCTTTCCCTCTGTCTGCAACACCCTTTCCATTTTTCCTACCACTTTTTTTTTCTACCTGTTGATGACCTTCTCAAAGTAGGCAACTTAAAATTTTCCTTATCCAAGTGGATAAAATTGACCATTTTTTCCTTTATGAACCCCTTCAAAATATAAACTTGTCCTTCTTTGTTAGAGTCCACAATACACATTTGTCTCTCCTCTGCTGGAGTTTGAGTTTCTTAGCGTAGAGACATGGTCTCATTGATCCTTCTGTCTCAATAGTCATCCTATTACAGCCATTCAGTTCACATTTATTGACTATACTAATCTTGGTTCCTCAGTTTATATCTAAGTGACCTTGTCAAGTTAATTTACTTATCTGTTTCTTGGTTTCTTCAACTATAAACCTTAGCAAGGCTTTTTTTCTAATGCAATGAACAGTATATATGAGAGCATGTTTTTTTTCAGTACCAGGGATTGAACCCAGAGGCATTCTATCACTGAGCTATATCCACAGTTCTTTTTATTTTTTATTTTGAGGCAGGCTCTCACCAAATTGCTGAGGCTGGACTCAAAAACTGTGATCCTTCTACCTCAGCCTTCCAATTTGCTGGGATTATGCGTATGTGCCACCATACCCAGTATTTTTTAAGTGCTATAAAATGCTTTCTATAATTACTTTTTGATTTTTCATATCTTTAAATTTCTGATAACTTTTATCATAAATGTTATATATGATTATATGATTATAGAAAATTTGGAGAACAAAAAGTTACACAATACACAGGTGACCACTTTTACAATTTTATTATATTTCTAGACCTGTTTTCTACATTTATATTTATGCAGATACATATAAATACAATAGTTTCACAAATTATAGTTTCATTTTTTTCACTTGGGAAAATATTATGAGCATTTTTTATGCTATTAAGCATTTTTTGAAAATAGTTTTTTTAGATACATAATTATAGATGAATGCATTATTTATTTGACAATAATTGGAAATTTAAGTTGTCTTTAGGATTTTCTTTTTTTTTGTTGTTGTTGTTATATAAAATGCATACTTTGTATATAAGCTTTGTCCTAACTTTGTATTATTTTCTTACACTTGATCACAAGAAGTAGAAAAAGCAGGTTATGTGATCACTTACACTTGCGGATTTCTTTCCAGAAATTTTATGGACATTTTCTGCTTCATCTAGCAATGTATGAATATTTTCTTACCATATACTCACCAGAATTTGGGTTAATTTGCCAAGTATTTGATAAATTTGATAGGGGCAATTTACATCTCATTATTTGGTTTTGTTTTTGATTATTACTTGGATTGAACTTTTTCAAAATTATATTAGTCATTTGTATTTTTCAGTAGTTAGTCTATTTTTGTTTTTTGCCTTTATTTCTGTTTGATATTAATATTTTCCTTATTTAACTGGGAGTGCTCTTAATATTTAAAGGTTTATTTATTTGATAGTCTATAATCCTTAAATGTTAGCATGTTCATTGGTATATTCACAATATACAGTGACTAATTGAACTCTTTCAAGAAGTGTTTGTTAATTGAATTTGTTATATTCATTTCTTATATTTATTGCATGACTATAGCAGAAAATAAGGAATTTTATTATTTTATATTTTCTGTTTGTCCTTTTTAAAATTTTTGTTTTTCTGTTAACATATAAAAATCTTAAATTTCACTGTAGCAATTTAGCAGTCATGGGTTTTTTTATTACATTAAACTGAGTATAGTATTCCAAAAAAAAAAAATCTTAAATTTTATGTGATCTACTCCCAGAATAAGTTAAATTATCACTCTTTTTTTTTTTTTTTTGTGGTGCTGGGGATTGAACCCATGGCCTTGTGCATGCAAGGCAAACACTCTACCAACTGAGCTATGTCCCCAGCCCTAAATTATCACATTTTTTTTCTTGATTTTTTTTTTAACATTTAACTCTCTAATATAATTGGAATTTCTTTAGTATAAGCATAGAATTTAGTATAAAAGCAGAATGGTATAGAGTAAGTTAGAATTTAACTTAGTTTTAGTTTAAATACTCTTGGTAAGTTTTTCCAGTTCTCTTTCCAGTAATCATCCTTTCTCCACGGACTTCTGCTGTCTTCTTTATTATATATTAAGATTTTATTATACTAAATCTGTCTCATGGTCATTTTTTCTGCTTCATTGTCTTACCTTAGAGTATTATGATTTTTTATGATGCCATACAAGCTATTCTAATTATTGTAATTGTATGTTTTAATAATTGGTAGAATAAATCTGAAAACTTTCCTTTTTAAAGTATTCATGTGTGGACCTAACCATTTATTCTTCCAAATCTTAATTTTTGAATTAAAAAAAATCCCGGGATTTTTTTAAACTCTTTTTTTTAATATTTATTTTTTAGGTGTAGATGGACACAACACAATGCCTTTATTTTTATGTGGTGCTGAGGATTGAACCCGGGCCCCACCCATGCTAGGCAAGCGCTCTACCGCTGAGGCACAATTCCAGCCCCCCCATTGGGATTTTTTTAAAAAATTTTAAATTTGGGCTGGGGATGTGGCTCAAGCGGTAGCGCGCTCGCCTGGCATGCATGCAGCCCGGATTCAATCCTCAGCACCACATACCAACAAAGATGTTGTGTCCGCCGAGAACTAAAAAATAAATATTAAAAATTCTCTCTCTCTCTCTCTCTCTCTCTCTCTCTCTCTCTCTCTCTCCTCTCTCACTCTCTCTTTAAAAATTTTTTTTTAATTTGTTCTTTTAGTTATACATGACAGTAGAATGCATTTTGACATATTATACACAAATGGAGCACAACTTCTCATTCCTCTGGCTATACATGGTGCAGTCACAACACCAGTGTAATCATACATGTATATAGAGTTATAATGTCTGTCTCATTCTACCGTCCTTCCCATCCCCACAGCCCCACCCCTACCCTCATTCCCTCTGCACAATCCAAAGTTCCTTTGTTCTTTCTTACCAATACCCCAACTATCCCACTTTTTATTTTGATTGGGAATTCTTTAAACTCAAAATTAGTTTTATTCATTTATTGATTTAACAATTATGAGTGTCTACCTTTTATTTATTGGTCTCGGTAATAGGTAGCTAGTTGTCAGTTCTAATAAACTCTTTCCTTAACATCTTTCAGTAGCTTATTTGACATACACCCTCTTGTAATTTGAAGTATTCTTCTTGAATCAAGTCTGCAGGAAAAAAAAATTTCACTAGTAAATTTCAAGTCTGCAGGAAACATTTCACAAGTAAATTTCAAGTCTACAGGAAAAAAAAAACATTTCACTAGTAAAGATTAGTTGTTAAAAGAGATGTGGGGTTTTTTTTCTTTTAGTTTTTTATTTTTTCCCCTGGGAATTGATAATTTAACCAGGTAAATAATCCTTGTAATACAACCTTTGATTTAGGGATCTTTGAATTGTCTTTGAGTTTTGTTGATTCATTTATAAAAACCTAGGCAACTCTTACTTGTAATCATTTAAAATATATGTTCCTTTCCCTTCTTTGGTTACTTACAAAATTATTTTTCTTTGTAGTTTAGAAATGTTAATTGATTTTATCTTGCTATCATGTAAATTTTGCTGGGAATTCCATTATTTTTCTATGCATGGCCCTTTAATTTTGTTTTGTTTTGAATTTGTGAAATTTGAATTTGTGAAAATTTTCTTTTGTTGTTCTTTTGATTTTCAGCTTTGCTCAATTTGTTCTGTATGTCAGAATCCTGATTATAGGTTGAATCTCTTTGTCTGTTCTCCAGTTACTGAAGATTTTATAATATTAATTGTATTTGCATAATCATTTTTTTCTCAAGGGCATTTCGTATGTTTATTTTCTTCCTTGGTTTAGTTAATAGTAATGTCACTTCTGCTTTTTACAGCTTCAGATGGTGTTTATTATTTTTTAGTTTCCATTATCATTGTACTGAATTCATTTTTATCTTGAGCTATTCTTTTTTTTTTTAGAGAGAGAGAGATTTTTTAATATTTATTTCTTAGTTTTTCGGTGGACACAACATCTTTATTTTTATGTGGTGGTGAGGATTGAACCCAGAGCCCCGCGCATGCCAGGCGAGCGAGCTACCGTTTGAGCCACATCCCCAGCCCTTGAGCTATTCTTGAGATATCTTTTTGAAATATTTCTGAGTTTCATCTATTTTTTTTTAAATACTACTTATTATTTTTCAATCATCCCTTAAAAAAATCCCTTAAGTTTTTTGACATTTAAGGATTAATGATTTTTCATTTTGGCTATTCTCATCTTATTTTCTTTTCCAAAATGCTTTTGGTTGTGTATATTTTTTCTTGGTTTGTTTGTAAATTAATTCTTCTTTAATGTTGGTGAACTAAGATTTTCTGGCAGTGAATTTTTTTATTATAAGTTATTGAATTAGCATTTAATGAGATTTGAAGGAAAGAAGTTCTTGGTCATATTAATTTCTCTTTAATTCCCTATAAATTTCCACATTGTGTTCTTAGAATCTATTTTATATGATTTGTTTACACAGTGTTTATACAGTATGCATCACTGTGGGCAAATAGCAGATTAAAAGCTTTAACAATGGCATTTGTCTTCTATTTCAGGGACTTCACTGTGACTTTGCTTGCCTAATGTTTCAGTACTTAGTAAATAAGCCTTCAGAAGAAAGAGTGAGGGAGATCATTGTTAATGCTGTCAAAATTGAGCAGGTAAGTAGGGAAGTTTATAAAGTTTAGCACATCTCGCTTTTTCTGATGTTTGTGCCATTATTTTATTAGTTTTATTTATTTATTTATTTATTTATTTATTTATTTATTTATTTATTTATTTATTTATTTATTTAGAGACAGTCTTGCTCTACAGTCCAGTCTGACCTTGAACTCCTTGGATCAATTGATCCTCCTCCCTCAGCTTCCTGAATTGCTGGGACTACAGGCATGTGCCACTGTGCCCACTTTAGCATTATTATATTTGATTCATGAAATCATCATCTTGTACTGTCAAATTGACTATATAAACCTGCTTATATTTGTTTTTACCTACAAGATAATGATTTCATGATGTGTTGCAATTTTCATGTGAGTTTATAATTTGGTTTACAAATCAGTGTTTGTATAACAAATATTTTAAGATTTTCTGTAAAAGTAAAATCTGCTTTAGGGCTATTTGGCTCATTGATTTATCTGTCAAATTTCATGGTATAACAAACTATTTTAATTGTTATAGCTTTATGTTTTTAAATTTAATGGCTACTGGATGATAATGATATTTTCTATTTGTGTGTGTGTGGGGGGGTAGTGAGTGTTGAACTCAGGGATCATCTACCACTGAGCTATACCACCAGCTGTTTTTAAAATTTAAAATTTTGAGACAGGGTCTTATTTACGTTGCCCAGGCTAGTCTTGTTTCTCCTGCCTCAGCCTTCTGACTCTCTGGGATTACAGGTGTGCACCACTGTGCCCAACAATTATGGTTTCTTGTTTTTATTCTCAATAACTTCACAGGGTACCTGGTGTGAAGCATGTACCAGTTTATAAGATCAATAAGTAAATGAATTATTGAATAGTAAAACTTAATTTATGGTAAATAAAGATTTCTGATTACAAAACTGGATGTTCTACTTAAAATGTATTTTTATTTATTCTAAAGAATTAGTTTATCAGGATGCTGAGCAATAGACTGCTTGCCTAGAATGTATGATGGCCAGGATTTAATCTCCAGGACCACACACATCCCCAGTAACCACCCCCCCCCAATAAATAAATAAAAAAATAAATAAAAATTAAAAAGAAAGAAAAAATTAGTTTAAAAATAAAATTTGCTTAGTTTAAAAAAATCGCATAGTTTAACAAGCATGGTTTTCATATTGGAAGGAGGAAAGCATGTGGTTAACATGTTTTTGTTTTTTATCTATTAACATTGTCTTTGAATGTAGAGTTCAGTTTATCTCCTAACCCCTTAATCCATTTCTGTTTTATCTCATATTCTTTGTTAATTAAGTTTTCTGTCTTTCCCACCTCTGTTTCATAGTCATGCTTCCCATGATGATCATCTTTGGTGAATTTTTTTCTAGGTATTTCAGAACAAAACAACAGTGGTGATCATTTTCCATGTTGAAAGCATTTATCCTAGTACACGTTCCTTGAGCAAAATCATTGTCTTAGAATATCAATAAAACCAAAACCTTCTCTCTATTTGGAAAATACCTTATTGTTCTGTCTTTGTACTTTATTCTGGTTTTGTTTACCTTCCAGGAGTTTTTAACAGAAGCCTTGCCAGTTGGCCTCATTGGGATGAACTGTGTTTTGATGAAACAGTATATTGAGTTTGTAGCTGACAGATTACTTGTGGAACTGGGATTCTCAAAGGTAAGGTGTTCAAAACCACCCTTTTACTACCAGGTAAAATGTTATAGTTAAGTAAAGCCCCTAAAATGTTTTACAAAAGCATTTATAATATATAATTCTACTTTTAAAATGTTCATGACAGAGATGTATTTTTTAATTTTTAAAATTCTAATTTGTTATATATGAGAGCGGAATACATTACAATTCATATTGCATATATAGAGCACAATTTTTCATATCTCTGGTTGTATACAAAATATATTCACACCATTTGTATCTTCATACATGTTCTTTGGATAATGATGTTCATCCCCTTCCACCATCATTTCTAACCCCATGCCTCCTCCTTTTCCCCTCCCACCCCTTTGCCCTATCTAGAGTTCCTCTGTTCCTCTCATCCTCCCCCTCCCAATCCCACTATGAATCTGTCTCCTTATATCAGAGAAAACATTTGGCATTTGTTTTTTGGGGATTGGCTAACTTCACTTGGCATTTTCTCCAACTCCATCCATTTACCTGCAAATGCTATATGATTTTATTTTTTTTATTGCTGAGTAATACTCCATTGTGTATGTATACCACATTTTTTAATCCATTCATCTACTGAAGGGCATCTAGGTTGGTTCCACAATCATAGCTATTGTGAATTGTGCTGCTATAAACATTGATGTGGCTATGTCCCTGTAATATACTGTTTTTAAGTCCTTTGGGTATACACTGAGGAGAGGGATAGTTGGGTCAAATGGTGGTTCCATTCCCAGCTTTCCAAGGAATCTCCATACTGCTTTCTGTATCGGCTGCACCAATTTGCAGTCCCAACTGCAATGTATGAGTGTGCCTTTTCCCCCACTTCCTCGTCAACACTTATTGTTGTTTATATTCTTAGTAGCTGCCATTTTTGACTGGCAGAATTGTATTTTGTATGAACAAATTGGTTTTACAAAATCCTTTGAAATTTAAAATGAAATTCAAAATAGAAATAGGAAGCTGGTAAATATTAGCACTAATAAGTTCAACACATTACCTTGTAATATTGCAGGTATAATTTAATAGAATTATTTATATTCAGGTAATTTTATTTGATCTACATTTAAATTTACCCTTTTGTAAATTCCTACGTGTTTACTTGGCAAGTTAGAGGTTAATACTTTTAAATAGGGGATAGTTACTAGGAAGACATTAAATGTCATCATTTAATCTTTTTTTTTGAACTTTTTTTTTTTTTGTGGTGCTGGGGATAAAATCCAGGGTCTTGCACATGCTAGGCAAGTATTCTACCACGGAGCTATGCTCCCATTCCTGATTTGACTCTTTGAAATTAGTTGTGTATAAGTTATTTTCTCTTATTTTGTATATCAGAGATAACGTACCTGAATTTTATAAAGATATTTGGTTTTCACATGACTCACAAGAGATGGAGCCTGCAATCAGACTTACCTAGGTTTGAATCCTGGTTCCACTACTTTCTAGCTTTGTGACCTTTGGCAAGTTGCTTAACCTCTATCTCAGTTTCTTAATCCATAAAGTGGAAATAAAAAATAATAATGCCACAAATAATTGTTGATGATACCTAAAACACTTAAAATAATCTCAGACACAATGATGCACAGTAAATGGTCATTTTGTACTCAATGTAAGTGAAATGGTCACAGAAAATGCTTTTGTAAAACATGTTTTAGGGCCTTACTTAACTATGTTCTGTATCTATGTTCTTACATGGTAAGTAGAAATTGTAAGTTTTAATTTTTTAGTTTGGAATTGTAAGTTTAAATTATATTTAATGATAAAACTTATAAAATCCACAATGTTAGGTGCAGTCTTTACTTCTTTTGGTAGTGTATTTCTATTATGGGAACCGCAGAAGTATTTATTGAAATAGTCAAGTGGTGGCAAATCTTTTTTAAGATAAACCATGCCAGCAACTTGTGAGGCTGAGCCTGAAGGATTGCAAGTTCAAAGCCAGCCTCAGCAACTTAGGGAGGCACTAAACAACTTGGCAAGATCCTATCTCAAAATAAAAAATAAAAAGAGCTGGGGATGTGGCTCAGTGGTAAGTGCCCCTGGGTTGAATCCCTGGTACCAAAAATTTTAAAAAAAGAAAAAAATTTACATATATATATATATATATATATATATATATATATATAGAGAGAGAGAGAGAGAGAGAGAGAGAGAGAGAGAGAAACCATTTTATTTTATTGTTTTAGTTGCAAGACACTCTCTATTTGTTAGTAACTTTTACTGATATGTTTGGTTTTAGGAAAATTAATTTGCTTATGTAAGCCTTAAAATGAATTCATTGTTCTTTAACCTCCACCATATCCTCATATCCATGATCTCTTGCTTACTGGGAAAACTGCTGACCCTTGTGTTCAGTTTTTCTTTTAGGAACTTGATAATTGTAGTTATATAAAACATACTTATTCTTACAAAAGAAAATTTAAACTCAGTATAAATCTTCTCCTGGGTTTTCAAAATATTTGAATAAATTCCCAAAATCAGAAATTGCACAAACCTCTTATATTTTTGAAGGCAAAAAACATAACAATAAAAGGTTGCCAAAGAGCTCCATCTACTTAGAAATGGAAAAAGTATTCTTCAAAAGGAGAATAAAGGGGCTAGGGGTGTAGGTCAGTGGTAGTGTGCTTAGTACCAAAATGAGGAAGGGGAGTGAGAGGGAGGGGGAGGAGGAGGCGGGGAGAGAGAGAGAAAAATTAAAAAATAAATTTTGAGCCAGGCGTGGTAGTACACACCTGTAATCCCAGTAGCTTGGGAGGCCAAGGCAGGAGGGTCGTGAGTTCAAAGCTAGCCTCAGGATTTTCTGTTTTACTGGAGTATAGATTTTCAAAATAGTTTTGTTTTGTTTTGACTTTAGAATTTTATTTTAAAGGTTGTACAAGGTCAGATTCTGAAACGGTTGCAAACCTGTCAGGCAGGGGAGATGAAAAAGAAAAGTGAAAAGACAAAAGTAAATTTTTCATTTTGTACAACCATTCAAAATAGTTTTGAATCTGGAAAGTAATATGGAGATTCCTTAAAAAACTGTGACCCAGCTATCTCACTCCTCACCATATACCCAAAGGACTTAAAAACAGGGACACAGCCACATCAATAGCAGCACAATTCACAATAGCCTTTGTGAAACCACCCTAAGTGCCCTTCAATAGATGATAAAGAAACTGTGGTATATATACATGTAAAAGAGAATAAAATCATGGAATTTGCAGGTAAATGGATGGAGTTAGAGAATATCATGCTAAGTGAAGTAAGCCAATCCCAAAACACCAAAGGCCAAATGTTTTCTCTGATAACTGGATGCTTATCATAATGGGGAGGCATGAGATGAGTGGAGGAACTTTGGATGGGGCAAAGGGAGGGAGGGAGGGAGGATGGAGGTAGGAAAGATGGTGGAATGAGACAGACTTTATTACGCTAGGTACAAGTATGATTGCATGAACGAAAAATCAGAAATTGCACAAACCTCTTATATTTTGTATAAGATATAAAATATTTTGGGTACAACCAGAGAAGTGAAAAATTGTACTTCATTTGTGTACAATGAATCAAGGAGCATTCTGCTGTCATGTATAACTGATTGGAACAAATAAATTAAAAAAATTTTTAAAAAGCCAGTTTCAGCAACTTATGGAGGCACTTAGCAACTCAGCCAGACCCTGTCTCAAAAACATTAAAAAAGGGCCAGGGATGTGGCTCTGTGGTTAAGCACCCCTGGGTTCAATCTTCAGTACCAAAAAATAAAAAATAAAATAAACTTTGAAAATATAACAGTAAGATTACTATATTTCAAAGCTTGTAGAATGCAACCAGAGAGGTTTTCAGAAAGTTCATGTGAATATTAAGAAAACAATCTCAAGCACATGAACTAAATTTTGAACCCAAGGAGCTTGAAAGCAATTATTCTATACTGACAGTTTTTGAGAAGATTATTAGTAAATGATCATCATTTAATGGATTCTTTTTATGATTATTATTTTTTGTGGTGCTGGGAATTGAATACTAGGGCCTTGGGCATGCTAAGCATGCACCCTCCACAGAGCCCCATCCCCAGCCATTTTAACAGTTTCTTAAATAGAAGTCACATTATTGATGTTATCAACTTCTCTTAGTTACAGATTAGTCAAAAAACATTAAAAATTTTCTATGTGTTACAAACAAGCTGCTTAATTTAGCTTGGTTACCTTGTCCATGCCATAAATGATTCAGATCTAATTTATTGAAGTTCCCCGTTTCTAAAATCCAGTGAATCTATTATTGGTACACTATCTTTTCTGCTGTGTCTTGCAGCTTCACTCTCTCTGAGAGGCAGTTTCACAGGATTTAGTTATCAGCCACACATAGCATATGAATACTCTATCTAATTATCTATATATCTTTATATACCCACGCACATACATATACATACATATGTGCACTTATGTTTACAGATTTATTAGATATATATATATATTAGGTATAAATCATAACATGCAGTTCACCCATTAAAAATGTATAATTGTTTTATTATTTTTATTTTTAGCCTTGGGATTGAAACCAAGGGTGCTTTACTACTGAGCTACATTGCCAGCCCTTTTTATTTTTTGAGACAGGGTCTCACTAAGTTGTTGAGGGTCTCTCTAAGTTGCTGAGACTGGCTTGAACTTGCCTTCTTACTGCCTCAGCCTTCTGAGTGCTGGGATTACAAGTGTGCATTATCCCACCTGATAATTAAGTAGTTTTTAGTATGTTCACAGTTGCACAGTCTTCACAACAATCTATTTTAGAACATGGTAACATGTTTATAATATCAGAAAAAAGGGGGACCAAGATGGCTGTGAATAGAGTGTATCACACCCCATGTACCACGCCACTGCGCAGGTGAATAACGAGTTAGAGCGACAAAAAACTATCTTGTTAGGAACTTACAGCAAAAGGCGGGTGCACCGAAACCTAGAAGAAGGATTTCCAGCACCGAGGTCTGGTAATTGAGTCTCAAACACAAGCCAACTGTGCGACCGGGGATC